ATCTATTTATCGTTTTAGATGACGGTATTGGAAAAAATCAGGGTAACAATGATAGTGAAAAAAGGGGTTGAAATATAATAAAAAAGAATTGATTATCTTCAAAATGAAGAAAAATTACATCTTATATATGTAAATTTACGAAGTTTAGGTTCTCATTTTAGGTTTCAAAGATCTGGTTTTCAGATCCCAAAGATTTTGCTCGAAGATCTTAAACTAAAAAAAAATAAACAGATCATGGCATATATCCTAGAATGTTATATGTAAATAGATCGTTAACTGAAATAAGTAATGGGTAGTGTGTTGAATGTAATAGCTTAATTTTATAATTCTAAAATATTATTTTTCTGTTATTTCTGTCCCGCGCAACGCGCGGGTCCCTGCCTAGTAAATTTATATATTTTGTAACAATTATTTGTGCATGCAAGTTTACATACTTACATAGCTTTATTATTCATCATTATTATAGTTTCCCTAAACGATTATGTATAAAAAAATAATTAATATTCAAATCTAACTAGAGATATTATCACACTAATGGTCAAATGTAACTAGGTAAGGAAATCCTTCTCTTTATTTTTTCTGTTGACTATAGAATCAAAAGAAATAAATTGAAAGATTTTTTTTTTCCTTATTCATTGTTTTTTGTTTGATAAATTAAAAAGAAAATCACACGAAATCTTTTATTTTTGATAAAGAATGGAAAGATATCTTATTCATTTTTTGGTCAACTAAATCTTATTCATTGTTAACCAGAATAATATACTTTTTACGCATGTATGGCTTATTATAAATACTGTATAACCATTCGAAGTAAAACATAAAATTTTGAAAAGAAAAAGCGAATTTTTTTTATCAGAAAGGTGAATTTTTTTCATTAAAACTCCTCTCACGAGCTTACATCTACCTCATCTAAGGTAGCTTGTTTGGCAAGTTTGAAAAGAAAAAGCGAATTATCATTAAAAAAAATGGCTATCTCTAAGAAAATGCTTATCGTAGTTGTTCTAGCTATCCTCTTTTTCGCATCTTCAGTTCATTGCTCCGATAGGAATCCTGCAGGTACTAACTGATACTTTTATTTATTTATTATGCTATTATCCTTTTTATGAATAGTAAATATCAGCTTAATGAACCCTTGTTGTTATATAGGTTTTGGAATAAAGCAAGACTTTAAAAAATGCTACAATCCATGTACTGATGATGGAGACAAAGGATGCCACCTATTTTGTTCAAAAATTTCAATATTTCTAAGGGCTAAATGTGAAAACAACATATGTTGTTGTTTTTCTAAGATCTAAATAATCTAATAAAATATCAGATGGCTTTTATCAAATATACAAAAGACCGAGAGCGGAATACACAAACCGTACCAAACTGAAGTTAGTTTGATCAACCACGAACCAAATTTCTATCAATTCTAAACAAATCTAAAAACAAACTGTAACAACAAACATAAGAAATATTGAAATGTAGTATAAATAGGTAACCGGTCCAACAAATTTAGTATAGCATCATAATCATTGGTAGATCTAGTTGGTTACGTAGAAGGAGATTAGCTTAAAAGATTATTTACGGCCTTACGGGTATATATATACATATGATTAAAATTGTAAATTTAGGATCATTTATTTAAAATCAGTTCATTGCCAATATCCAAAACAGAAATGAAAGAAATTGGTTGTGAAATTGTATTCGTTTCTCTCAAATACCAGCACCAGGAAAGGGGAGAGAATATGTAACCAATTAGCCTCTACCAAACCAATGATGCTAAACAAGTCCAAGTCATAATAGATATTGTAGATCTGTAATCCAAACTAATCGGTAATCCACCTAAACTATCCAATTCTAGTTAATTCCACATTATTTAATTGATTTTATTTCCGCTGGTTGTTGA